AGTTTGATTTCCTCGTATCTGCCACTTCCCAGCCTGGATCTGTGGGGCTCCACCCCTGGTGGGAACCGAGGTCTAGATTCGGATCCCAGCCCTGCCGTCTCCTAACCGTGTGACCATGGGCAGATCACTGTGTCACTGAACCTCAGCTTCCTCGCCTGTGAACTGGAGTAACAGCTGTGGGGGACCCCTCCTCCCAGCCTGTGAGATCCTGCACTCCTGGCGGACAGGGTGACGATCCAGTTCATCTCCACGTGGCCCTGGTGTTGGAGGGAGGCACATCCTCAGCAAATGCTGGAGATGATAAGGGCCCATGGACAGGAGGTGACGGTTGGGTCTTTGTCAGGCTGGCCAGATCCTTGTCTGGAGAGTTAGTCCTGGGGTTTCAGCTTCAGGGGATAACACCAAGCCAGGGTCTGGGTGGCATCTGCCTCCTGTGTGGCTGGCATACCTGAGTGACACATCAATCACAGCCTCCTGACTTGAACTCCCTGTGTGTCCCTGTGGTTACTGGGTGACCAGGGGAACACTGTCTCCCCCAGATCTGCATGTCACTCCCAGGTACCCATGTGCATGTGCAGCAGGTTGAGCGTGGCAGGGTTTGACTTGGCCACTGTCCTGTGAAGGGGACTGTGATTACCACCCTGCAGGCTAGTGGGCAGGACCCCAAGGCAGTTTGTGACGTGCCTGAAATGTGGCTGTCCTCTGTGTCCCTCAGAGGGACAGGATGCATGCCCCTGGCATGTTCTAACCACGCCGCCTCCTCTCTTCCAGGATCTTGGTCAACATGGATGACAACATCATCCAGCACTACAGCAACCATGTGGCCTTCCTGCTGGACATGGGGGAGCTGGACGGCAAGATTCAGATCATCCTGAAGGAGCTGTAGGGCCCACGCCCCCAAACCCAGACCCGGGAAGTGGCCCATGCCACACCCAGCCTCTCTGCATGCCTCAGTGCTGTTACTTGAATGTGCTCCTTGAGGGAAGTGGCCCCCAAGTCACAGACCCCAGCCGTCAAGCCAGAAGGGACTCCGAGGGTCTGCCGATCCGAACTCCATCCTTGCTTGAATCCTGCCAGTGCCCGCCCACCAGACACAGCACCCTGGTCAACACCCTCCCGGCCGGTCCCTCCTCACCGTCCCCTGCCGGATGCCTTCAGAGGTGGAGCCCTCCCCCCACAGGCCGCACAGCCGGCTGGACCCTGACATGGCCCGCCCAACCCTGCCATGGCCTGCTCCGGATTCTTCCGTCAACTTCAGACCAAGGATTTCTCACCCTTTGGTCAGTTAACTTGAAAATGTTTGATTTTCAGTGCAAATGACTTTTAAAAGACACTGTGGTGGCAACACCTCTTCGCACTGACTTCTCAAGGCGAGATGTACATAACAGAGCTCTGGAACAAAGTGACCGCTGTCAACACTACCACCTTGCCATCGCTGCTGTACACATTTCTTATCACAAGTTTCACTTATGTTATATATATAAATATATTGTATGTATATATGCAACGTTTTATATTTTTCATGGATACATTTTTATCATTTCAAAAAATGTGTATTTCACATTTCTTGGACTATTTTTTTTAGCTGTTATTCGATTATGCATTTTGTATACTCATGGTATTTAGTAATAAAAGGCTCCCTATGTATTACCTCACTCGCTGCATTCACTCCTTTTTTGAGGGTCTTCCAGCAAAAAGAGGAGCCAGGGCGGATGAGCCTCTCTCCTCTCCGCAGTGGCTCTGTCYCGGGAGTGCCTTGCCCTGGGCTGCAGGATGGAGGTGAGCACAGACGTGCAGCCCCTATGGTCCCACCAGGATGACTGTGACAACCCTAGGATCGTTGACTGAGATAAAGGCCTGGAAGGACCAGAATGGCCATGGCAAGGAACTCCCAGCTGGGGCCAGGGGGCARAGCCCAGGTCTGGGAGCCACATGACCTGCTTCTTGTACCATCTCTGTGCCCCCTCCAGGCCATTGCTTTCTCTGGGGCCAGCTCCTACTGGCTTATAAAGTGACGGTGCACATCTCTCCCAACAGCATGGCCAGTGACATCAGTTGGTGCACTGAACTCAGCCACGGTGGGGGTTATAGGCCAAGCCCTGTATTGCCCTGGGGAGCAAACCACAAGTCAAGGCTTCCCTCCTTCCTCTCCTCTTCCCTTCCCACCGCTGCATCCAGCCTGTTTCCTTGGGAGGTGCAGGAGGTGGTCTACGCTGGCATCCCCAGAGCCTCAGGGTCATGGTGTGGGGGAGGGGATGCATCCCCGAGCACCTCCCTGCCTTCAATCCCACCACCTCTGCTTTTTACATATTAGGATTTCTTTTAAATGTTTGTCTAAACAAAACTCTTTTTAAAGTTTGAAAACCAAGATTTCTGTTAGGACCTTGCAGCTCCACCAGGGTTTATAGTTCCATTCCCAAGGCCCTGCCTAGAGTCAGGGCTGGGACCAGGGTCAGGCAAGTGAGGTACCAGCCTCGGGCATAAAAATTAAGGGGTACCAAAGAGCTCAGTAAAGTAGTTAAGTAAAAGTGCAATGCAGCGTCTTTTAAAACTGAGGCAAAAAAAATTCACTTTGAACAAAATCTCAAAATGTTAAGGACAGGCTCAGCGTCACGGATCAGGCTCCAACACGGCTCCTGTGGCCCTGCCGGAGGGACCCTGCAGTACATCCAGGGTTACTCTGCCCCGCCCAGGCCTCACTAGTGCTATGACATCACTCCAGAGGTCAGAGAAAAGTGAAGTGTGAAGGTTAAATGACAGGAGGGCCGATGGGTGTGGTGGCACCCACCCGTAGTCCCAGCTGAAGCAGGAGGGTGGCGAATTGAGGCCAGCCTGGCAACATGGCCCCATCTCAAAAAAAAAAAAAAAAAAAGAGCAACCACCTGAGTGTTGAGCAGTAACACAGGCTGCAGGCACACAGTAGGTGCTCAGCTTTCCTTCTTCTGAGCTTCCTACCCAGCTCCCCTCCCAGAGCCACTTGGGAACTGGAAGGTGCTGCCTCTCAATCTTGATCACCTGCTGGAATCACCTTGACACTTTTGCTGGCCCTCTTCTCTCCACCCTCTTCTCCCCCGCCCCCCACTGCCCAGACCCCACCCTGGAGTAATTAAATGAGCTAGTGACCCTGGGTGGGGTCAGATGTCACTTTGTGAGTTCCCCAGGTGACCACAGCATGCCATCAAGAACCTCGGATGGAGAATCACTGCTCTAAAGGGCGCCACTCCACAGGCCTTGGAGCCTCCGCAGCCCCTGGGTCTGCCCACACTTCCGCGCAGCAGGAATCACCAAGGTCAACAGCACGGGGCTCCCCCAGCAGCTTGCTGGGAATGCAGAATCTCAGGCCTCACCCCAGACGTACCAAACCTGCATTTTAACAAGATCTCCAAGTGATTTGTGCGCACACTGAAATTTGGGAAATACTTTACTGTTAGTGTATCCTGACACTCGCTAGGTACACTGCAGTCACACTCAGAACTTCAGTGAAGACACCAATGATGGACCAAGTCAGAACTCCGAGGGCTGCAACCTGCGCATGCTCTCAGCACGGCCCCTATAATGGCTCCTTCCTTTTCTTTTTTTGCCGGGGGCAATGAAAATTGAACTCATGGGTGCTCTACCAGTGAACTATATTCCCAGCCCTTTTATATTTTGAGACAGGGTCTTGCTAAATTGCTGAGGGTCTTGCTAAGTTGACCAAGCTGGCTTTGAACTTGTGATCCTCCTGCCTGAGTCTCCCAAGTCACTGGGATGACAGGTGTGTGCCACCACGTCCAGCAACAGCTCCCTCTTGAGGTGAGCCTGGTGTCCAGCTGTGGGTAGGAAACCTCAGGGGATGCAGCTGTGAACAGGAGGAGGAGGAGGAGGATCAAGACAGCACCTTGGGCTTAGGGCCTCAGGGCAGTATGTCAGCCATAGAATGCGGGTTCTGATTGGCCGGCCAGCCCTGCTGTTCTCTCCTCAGGTCTCTTTCCTGGCCCACTTGGAGGGAGTCACTGGAGAGACAGTTCAATTGGCAGAGTGCTCTGAAGGGTGAAGAGGGCTTTGTGGTTTTCCTATACGATATCACCAGCCCCAAACCCAGCAAATAGCAGCCAGTCACCTGCTAAGCCACAAAGGGTAACCAAGGTCAGAGGAAGCTGAAAATCAAGGCCTCAGGATCTGGCCCCAGAGTCAAGAGCCTGGGTCAAACAAAGGATGACTTTGTGTGTCAGCTTTGAAGAATCTTACAGAACTTCTAGCATAAATGTGGACAATCAATGACCCCCAAAAGAGTTTCCTTTAACTCAAATAATTATTTCAAATTGGAATATAGTTGTCCATATCTCATGTTAAAAGATTTACTATAGTAAAGAGTTCCTGGGCTTGCTGGGCATGATGACCCACACCTATAATTCCAGCACTTTGGAGGCTGAGGCAGGAGGACTGCAAGTTTGAGGCCAGCCTGGGCAACTTAATGAAACCCTGTCTCAAAATAAAAATCTAAAAGGTCTGGGGTTGTAGCTCAGTAGTGAAGCACTTGTGGGCTCAATCCCCTATACTAAAAAAAAAAAAAAAAAAAAAGGATTTCCCTGAATTTAGTAGAAAATCTTCAGCTCTAGCACCACTTTGCTGGAGCCGAGTGGTGTTGGGTGCCTCGTGAGACGGCGGCAATCTCGCGGCAGTCCCCCTGCCCACCTGACCTGTGGCACTCGATGCATGGTCTGCTCAGCCTCTGAAAGTGTCAGAACTTGGAGCCCCTGAGTCCCACCCCAGCTCTTCCCCTGGAGAAGCTGAGCCCTGGGAAGTGCAGAGGGAAGCACAAGGTGATTCTGTCTTTAAACCCCAACCTCCTTGCTCTTCCCACAACCCTGAGGGCTGCCTCTCAGTCACTCCAAGGCCACGGGGCCCTTGCAGGAGTCTGAAGTTCACCAAAAGGCCGGCTTTAGTGAGAAGCAAGAATTCCGTTTAATTGAAAGTGTTATTCCCTCCATTCCCTCCCTCTTCTTCACCCACCCCCAAAGGGAGAGCCCATCAGCAGCCAGTTCTAACAGGAAGGCCCAGGGTGCAGCATTCACGGGAAAACAGGGTCAGCAGTGAGAGGCCAGGACCTGTGGGGTCAGGGCTGGGGCTGGGGGAGGTGCAAGAGAGACTCCACGCAAGGCTGTGAACCACCAGGCAGCTCTCCAGGGGGGTGAAGAAGAAAAGGGCCCTGGTGGCCAGCTTCCAGATTCTTCCTGAAGGTGCAACATGAAGCCTTAGCTGAGTCGAGGGCCCAGCCAGCACCTTCCTGTCTGTCACAGGTGTCTCCAGATGGGACCATGCTGGGGCACACTCCACCCCCAACCCCTGCTCCACGGACAGCTGGGGGCTGCTGTCAGGTGGACCGTCTCCTCCCTGGAGGCCCTGCTTCAGGAGGTGAGTGGCCAGGGCCAGCCTGCGGAGTGCCTGGGGAAGAGCCTGGGGCTCCATCTACCCCCTGCTGGGGACACTGCTGGAGCTGGGGGGGGGCAGGCAAGGGTGATGGCAGCCCCTTGCAGTAGCACTGGGCCAGAGTGGCAGGTCATCAGCTGTCACATGCAACACAGGTCCCTCCTGGTGAATATCCTGGGGAGGGCCGGGCCGGGCTGGGGCTGGGGCTCTCACTGAACCTGCGCAGCGCGCTACCTCACTACATCACCGGGATCCATTTGTGGTCCTCGTTGTAGAGGAACGACTGCTTTCCCGGGAATTCCGGCTTGTAGGTGGCTGAGGGGAGAAAGAGACGGCATGAGAGGGAGAGGCTGGCCCCTGGGTCCTCTGGCCTCCCGCCTCAGGCTGGAAAGGCCCAGGGACCCCTGTGTCTCATGGTGGAGGAGACAGAGAGGGAGGAAGGGAATGGCCTCCTGTCACCTGGCTCTTAACTGGCCAAAGCTGGACTTGAACTTGGCTTGGGGAACTGTTTCTCCTGTTTACATTTTTGTCTGGTGTCTGTCTTGCGGTGCTGGGGTCGAACCCCGGGCTTGTGCAGGCTGGGCCAGGGTGGGAGCCTCTTTAACACTCGCCTAACTTTGCCTTTCTCCCACGTCACCTGCCACCCAGTCACACCTGTTGGTCCCTGTTGCCACGAGTTCTGGCCGTTGTCAGAGAGTGGTGACAGCTAAGGGATCTAAGGGAGCTACAGCTCGGTGAGGAAGCACAGGTCACCATCAGAACGAGGCCCTCGGGACCTCAGCTCCCAAGGGATCCCACTTGTGAGGGAGGGTCACTGTCGGATGGGGAGCCTCTGTAGGATGGGGGTGGGGCTGGCTGCAGAGCAGTTCACTGAACGGTCCCTGGTCGCCATGCGCAAGGTGTCCGGGCCTCTGTCCCGCCACAGAGGCCCTGTGTGTAGCTCGCTCTGCGGGTGTCCCTGCCTGTGAAATGCCTTGGCCAGACTGGACCAGTGGCTTAATTGTTTCTTTCTTGCGGTTCTTGGCCCTGAACCAGGGGTGTTGTCACACTGAGCCACATCCCCAATCCTCTGTTTTTATTTTTAGACACTAAGTTGCCCAGGCTGGCCTTGAATTGTGATCCTCCTGCCTCAGCCTCCCGAGTAGCTGGGATTACAGGCGTGCACCACCCCCCCCGGCATGGCGTGTGGATATATAGGAATAAGAACTTTTCCGATAATCTGACAAAAGCCATGGCCTCTCGACACGGAAGATAATGTCTGCAGGGAATTCAGAGTCACTGGCTACCTCGTGCCTGTCTTTGACCTCTCGAACCTTCCCAGTCCTTGGTTATAAATCCCTGACCTGGATCACCTCCAAGAGCCCTTCCACCTTAAAAAAACAAAATCTTTGTATACTCTTGAAAACATGAGCTGAAGACTCCTAAATCTCCCAAATCTCCTCTTGCTTTATAACCTGTTCAGCAAACAGCCCATAAATCAGTGGCGTTCAATGGCCTCGAGGACCAACAATCCCAGAGGAGCTGGCGATTACAATCCCTCAGAACAGGGCTCTGACCTGGGCCGGGCAGGCCTTGCTGGGACGGTCCCGCTGTCCACCGGCTGGTGTTGGACACAAAAGACGCGCTAGAGATGAAGTGCTTGGGGGGCCCCTCGTAGTCCACGATCTCGTACTGCCCAGGGCCTGGCAGAGACGGCTTCAGGGGCAGAGGCAAAGGCTGAGCAGAGAAGTTCAGCGTCGAGTTTTTCCTTTGGAAAAGACAAATGGGAAGGTCAGTCGAGGGGTCTGCTGGGGAAGTGCCGACCGTCAGAACAGCCAGAGCCCCACCGCACCAGGGCACTGCAAGGTACGGGAGAGCTGGCAGAGCCTGGCCCCCGGACCTCAGTTTCTTCATCTACATGAGGGTGATCGTAGCAGTACCCACCTGGGAGGCTCTTGCCAGGGTTAAATGAGATGATGCAGCTCAAACATGGCAGCAGGCAGAACAGGGCCTGGCCTAGAGCTGAGCGCTCGGAACGCCCTGGCACAGCTCTGGTTACTGCGCCAAGCAGGAAGGGCAGGGGCGACTGATCGGCAGTGCCTGTTGGAGCTCTGTGGAGAGTTGTAAGGGTGGGCTCCACGGGAAGAGTGTCGGTGGTCTACCTGCGCTGCCTGCCGTCCCGCGTCCCAGGGGTGTGTTATCCCAGGACTAACAGGCACCTAGAGACGCCCCGAGATTCCAGAGGTTCAGGCTCCAGAATTCTGCTGGATCTCTTCCTGGAAAGGCAAGATCCAGGCCTGGAGAGACACTGGGGAGGGGGGGGATCCAGAGCGCCCTCGTGACCCAGCTGACTCCGGCCCTGTTTTCTGTCTTCTGCCTCCTCGGGGAGGGGGACTCGCCTTCTCCCTCTGGCCTGGAGACACCACAGAAAGCTGGTCCCGGGCGGAGTCCAAACCCCTGCACTCACTCCTTTCTCCGTCTGTAAACTGAGGGAGTTGGGCAGGGTGACCTGTCGTCCCTTCCAGTTGTGACCCTTCGCCAGGCCTCCACTTGCAGCTCTCCTGGTGGCCAGGGGCCCTGGGGGTGTCAGGAAGCGCTGCCTCCTCCTGCCTGTCCCCAGACCTTCTCCCAAGGTCTCTCACCAAAGTGGAGCGAGGGCTCTTGGGGCGTGGGGTGGCCCGGGAGCCTCCCCCTCCTCCAAGCAGGGGGACGACTAGGGGTTCCTGGGTCCTGGCATTCTGTTGCCACCACCTTTTTAAACCCACGGAGACAAAGGGACCTAGAGATGTCCACTCCATCTTCTTATTTTGTTAAATAAGTTGGTGTCTAGAGAGAGAAAGTCGCATATTTAAGGTCACCGAGCACATGGGTGGGATGCTGGCGTGAAGTCACCGGGGCCGAGGGGATGGAGTTCCAGGGTTGAACAGACCTGGGTCTGAGTTCCGGTCATGCCACCAACTGGCTGTGAGACTTTGGACAAGTCCCTGAGCTCTTTGAACCTCAGCATCAGTGTCCTTAGCCAGGAGCAACAACGCCGGCTCTTTATAGAAGTGTTACGATGAAGAGAGGAAAGGCATGTGAAGCACCAGCGCGTAGTAGGTGCTCAGTCAGAGTAGCCGGGTCATGGTCCTGCAGCACCGCGGAGAAGCAGCTTCAGGAGAGAGAGGTTTGGGCCTCACTCAGAGCCACCCGGAGGCAGGGGGCATCCGCACTGCTGCGGGGGCCGAGGAAAGCTGCCCTAACCCAGCCCGGGGCTCACGTCTTGCGATGGGGGACAGCTGACCTGGACACTTATGTTTAGAACCAAGATGTCCCCCACAGGAACAGGAGGAGCGCTGCCTCCCTTCGCTCCCACCCCAGTCTGCACAGAACTGGGCCCAGGGTGTGGCCGACTCCTGTCCCCTTATAAACAGACGCTGCCTTCTGCCTGGCCTGGCCGTGGCTCCCTCTTTGCAGCACCCCAGAAATTTGGTGAGTGGGTGACTGGCCTCTGAGAGGCAGGCTTGAGTCCTGGAATGACAGCCAGGAGGAGCTGGCCATGCACGAACCTGTACCCACCTCGGAGGCTGTCGGTCAGGGCTGCCCCAAGCCCAGGAGGCCACCCTGTGCTTTGAGAAGACCACGAGGCGTCTGCTCTGCTGCGCAGGGTGGCCCGCAAGAGGCCTCGGCAGCTGAGCCACAACCCTGGTGGCCAGGGCGAGCCCGAGAGGTCTTCCTCTCTCTGTCGTAGGCCAGGGGTGGCCCAGCACCCTCAGCCCGATGCTGGGGGTCTTCAGGGGCACCAGCCATGTGTGTGACTCCATCCACACGGCTCTGGGCTAAGGCCCAGGCCTGAATGTCCTCGAGGGCTGGACAGTCCCCTGAGAGTTCGATCATGGCTCCTGACAGCTAAGGCAGGACAGCTGTGCGCTCACACAGAAGGTTCCCTCCCCACTCGCCAGCGGTGTGTCCTCAGGGAAGTCCCCTGGCCTCCCAAGCCTCAGTTTCTTCGTCTGTGAAATGGCGGCAGTGATACCTGACGCCCAGCGGGGTGGGACTGACCACTGCTTTCCTCGGGTTACTTTTGACACGAGTTAGGACAGAGTTTAAAACTCTGTGTGGGGGGGTAGGAACCCGGAAGCCCACCCTGGAAGGGTGGCAGGTGCCCTGCCAGGGAAGCAGGGGACCTTCAGGTGGGAAGGACGGGGAGGACACGCCAGCAGCAGCACAGCAGGGCACCAGCGGGGAGGGCACGCAGCCCCAGGGCACAGGGAGGGGGTTGGGGACACCAGGAGAGGAAGGCTGGGCCCTTCCACCGCCTTCCACCCTGCATGCACCCACGAGCCTGCCTGGTTCGCTTGTTTCCTCCCCAAACCGACCCCAGCAGAAGTTCCAGGGAAAGCTCCGTGGCCTCTGGAGCCAGCCTGACTTCCACCCCAACACTCCCCTCGCACACACTGCTCGGCAGTCCCTGCCCCGCCCAGGGGCCCCCTCTGCCAGGAGCACCCGTCTGCCCTGCTGGCTGGGATTCAGGCTTCCACCCTCCCTGACTGGCAGCCCTGGACAGTCCCCTCCGACCTCCACAAGGAGGTGGAGGACCCAGACGTGAGTCCCAGCTCCAGCCCACAGCACAGCTGCACATCCCCGAGGGCGCAGGCACCCCCTGTCCCCTAGGAGAGGAAGGAGGTTGACGGGGGCTGCCGCTCGAGCTCCTGGGCCGGGGTATCTGGGCCCAGCACACCTGCTGCTCTTCCTTCCTTTGTCCCCAATCTGTTAGGTTTCCAAGCCTTCTACCTGCCCCACTCCGGAAGGGGACGGTGTCTGATTCAGCTGTGGGACCCTCAGGGAGGACACTCGCTGAGCCTCAGAGGAACGCAGAGGACTGAGGCAGCAAAGAAGCCAGACCCCTGAGCCCCACCCAAGACTAAGCCTCCGCCAGGGGCGTCCTGTGTGGCGGTGGGGCTGGACATGCAGACCGGACCCAGGGCACCGACACAACTCTGTCGTCAGGGGCTTTATGAGCGTCCCCTTGAGAGCAGAGCTACCTGCTCTCACCCCACGGAAAGGAAGCAGCTTTCAAAGGCTCTTGTTGGCCCCCAACAGGATGAAATGTGTTGGCAGCTTCCAGCTGAGCTGCTTGCAAATCGCCCAGAATAATGAAGGGCTTGGAGGACCCGGCAGGTCACTGCCTCCGAGACCCTTGGGACACTCCCAGGCACAGAGTCACTCTGCCTCAGGGGTTCCCAGGGCTGGGAGGGGTGAAGGGGCAATTTTTCTCAACATTAAAGGGCAGCGATTTGCCCCTGGGGTGGAATGCGGTATCTGTTCACCAGGTAGCGGGTGACAGATGACAGTGGCTTGGGAAGAAGCCTCCCATATCTAATTGGAAATCCAGAGGTTCTTCAGGGGGGTGCAATGTAATTACCCAAATTGGAGCGGGGCCAGCGGGCCTGATTCTTTGGCTCTGGCTGTGACACCGCAGCGTGTCTGTGCAAAACCAGGGGCTTAGAGACTCCAGGAAGCAGCTCCAGGTTAGAAGGCCGTCCCTGGGCGCCACCTCCACAGGCAGGTGGGCCTTGAAGCTGCACCAGGAGGAGCCGTTTTGATCTCCAAAGCCCTTACCCTGACCCGCCCCACTCCCCTGAGTCACCCAGGACCTAGAGAAGGGACACCTTGGCTGGCACCAGAAGCTGATAAATCCTCTTAGCCTTGAGTCAGCAAGTGGCACAGCGACGCCCCGGGACGCGCTCTCCAGCCGAAGAGCCCAGGAGGGCTGGCACAACACACCGCTGGCCCTGGCACGGCATCGGCCCTACAGGGGCTACCCCAGGAACACAGGTGGGTGCGAGGACCTGCTCGCAGACTGGGCCAACCCGAGCTCAGCGGCCACGTCCTCTCATCCTGGCAACACGTCACCAGGGTTCTTCCCCAGTTCACTTCGATGAGTCACAGTGCTCTTACCCCAACTCCCAGAGATGAAGGACCCGGAGCTCCCAGGAGCTAAGTGACCTGCCTGTCCCCGTCCCCGGGGCTGGAGAGTGGGGATGGTGGGAGGCCCCAGGCCCTGACCTCAGAGCTGGCACTAACCCCCTGCCCTGCTGCCACAAGGTCTCCCTGGCAGACACACTGAATGGGGACCTCGGAGCGCTTCAGTCTTTCTCCTGCTCCCTGGGCTCTGCTCTTGGGGGTCACACGGGATGAGCTCCTCAGGGGGACGTCCACCCTCCTCACGTCCCCGCACCCTGGAGAAAGCGGAGCCCCGAGCTGCGTTTGTGAGCTGTGACCCCAAGGATGGGGACCCTGGAGGTCCACAGGTGACCAGGCTGCTGTGGACAAAGTCTGAACAAAAGCCGCAGGTGTCTGGGGAGGAAGCAGTGCCCAGGCTGACCCCCCGCCATGGGGCCCAGGCTCCTGTTCCCCTGCCCTCCAGGACACAGCGGGAAATGGTGGCACTCGACAGGTGGGAGGCTTGGACAGTCCTTCAGCCTTCAACCTTTCCTTCCTATTCCACTGTCTCCTTCATGGCTCAGCGTAAACAGATGGACACTCTTCTAGAATGGTCCAAGGCCTATCCATTTTGTCTTCTTGTTTTTAAGTAAAACTGTAGATTCTCACCTCCGTCCTTTCTTGTCAACTTATAAGCAGACATTTTGGGCCTCTCCTCTGTGGTCCAGGCTGGCCTCAGTTCACAGCCCCCTTCTGTGCTCCCCTGAGTGACATGGCCAACAAAGCTGAGTCCCAAAGCGTCAGATGTGAGCAGGTCCCCTCTTCACTTGTGGAGAAGGGAGGCCCGGGGACATGGTGTCTGCACAAGGGACCAGCGCCCAGGGCTTCCCCACTGGACGAACCCGATCCTCCATTCACGAAGCATCACAGAAAGCCAGTGAGCGCCCGACACCCCAGACACACAGGGCCACCCATGGCCCCACTGGTGCCCCATGGGGGGTATGGCTACATGACCTGGGGTCCCACGAGAGCCAGCAGGTGACGCTGCTCCTCTGCCTTACACTGGGGTTGTTCCTGGGAGGACCTGGCTGACGTGGCATCCTGTTCGCCTGAGCACCCACAGACCTACGGAGCCCGCTGAGTGACAGGCGGAAATGCCACCAGATGGGAACGATGAGAATGACTTCAAATTGCTGCTCCAGACCTGAGCAAAATCCAACCAACCAGGTAAAAGGGCTAAACACGAAAGGTTCTCTGCTCTCCTGTCTCCTGTGGCCATTTTCCTGGAAGAAGCTTCCAGATTTGTGTTGGGGCTTGAGCTGCCATTTCAAATCCCAGCTGTTCCTGATGACCTCTGTGTCCCTGGGATGTGGAGCAGTGCCAGCTGCAACAGGAGTGACGGCTGACTATCTCAGGGAGACGGGGCGCTTCCTCATTGGCACACCCCAGGTGACCGAGGGCAGAGGCGAGTTCCCCTGTGTCCACCGAGAGGGAGTCGCAGCTGTTTCCAGCTCCTGCTCCCGCAGGCCTTGCAGAAGCCCGAGGAGACGGACTCTCGTCTGCACTGAAGCCTGAGGCTCATTCTCAACCACTCAGAGCAGGGGACAGCTGGCATGTGAAGGTGACCCAAGCCAGTCTGCAGCAGGAAGTCTCTGACATTTGGAGGGGCCTGCTTCTRGAGACTGGGAAGGGGGGCCGAGCTGCAGACCCCAGGAACCGCAGGGCAGGAGGGACTCACCTCGTCGCCGCCCTCTGAGGCCGAGGCCCTTCTCCAGATGCTGTTTGAAGTGGCAGGTTCGGGACCTGCTCCTCTCCCTAATCCCTTTCCCCTCATCCCAGGCTGACCGTCAGGGGATACTCGGTAGTGCCAGCCCCTGAGTGACCTAGGCTTCTGACCCACTGTGACTGTGGCCTCCAGCACCCGCCTGACCTCTCTGGAGAGACCCAAGTGGCTACACCCGCCCAGGGGCCAGCCCTGCTTGGAGGAGCGGCAGAGGGAGGGCTTAGGGGGTGACTGACCTTCTGCAAATGGTTCTAGAAGCTCTCCCACCATCTAAGTATCTGAGGAAAGCAACACTGACTGTGTGAGGTATTGAACGTGAAGGTGCGACGTCTCCTCTGCTTTTCAAGCCTGTGCTAATATCAACTCACCATTTACCCCTAGATGCCTAACATACATTTTTAATTCTGAAAGCAGCTCCACAGGCTGGAGTCACCCCACTGTGCAGGTAGGAGGGCACGGAGGCTCACAGAGGTCGGCATATGGCCCAAGGTCCCACAGCCCCAAACAGCAGAGCTGAGGTTCAGATTCTGCAGGTTTGACCAAAAGCTCAGAGAGCCTCCTGCTCCTCCCATGTCCTGCCGCTCCATGGAGACTTTACACTGCAGAAACAGAACCCTGTCCACAGCGGATGGCACACGATGTGGGGAATGTGGGAAGATCTGCACAGTCCTGAGCCTGGGGCACCTCACGGGAGCTAAAGTCTTGCATCTTCTATGAAGTAAGAATATTTATTCCTACGACAGGGTTATCATGATAACTGGGTGAGATTCTAAGTTCCTGGCACAGAGCAGTTGCTCAATAGATAGTCTGCATTGGGCAAGCAGGAACTGAACACCTACTGTGTGTGTCTGCAAGAGTCCCTGGTACTGAATGCTGCTCAGTAGTGACATCTCTCCCCTTTCTGCCCACATTAGGATACTGCCCCCAAACCACCTTGCAAAACGAAATTAGCAAAAGAACAATCCGGACTCACGGAACATGGGTCTTCTTTGGAACCCTGGTGAGATCGTTTGGGTTGTAGTAACCAGGCCCTGGGCCCGTTGACGTCAGTTTTAATCCACGATCGGTTTTTGATTTAAAGCAAGACATTAACGACTTTGGTGACTGCTTCACAAGGGATTCGTTGACATCATACTGTCCTGAACAGAAAGAAATTTTAAAACAGCATAAGGAACTCTTCTCAAATAAGTAAAAATTCGTGTCTCCCACCTAGGGATACATTTAAGGGCTATAAGGCCATATCACCCCACGACGGTCAAACGGGGGGGCTGCCTGGAACAGCTAACAGTAATACTGTCTAGTGACACTAGAGAACTGGCCCTGGCCATCACACGCTGGGCTCACCCAGTCCTCACTGCCCTGCAGGGTGGGCATTGTCCCCTCCATTCTGACACAATGACTCAAAGACACTAAATAACTTGCCAGAGGACTTAGGACCTCTAGCCAGGGGACTTAGATCAAGCCTAGCAGGCTGCTCTACAGAGTAAGAATAACAGATCTCACCAGGCCCAGTGGTGCATGCCGGTGATCCCAGCAGCTCAGGAGGCTGAGGCAGGAGGATCGCGAGTTCAAAGACAGCCTCAGCAACTTAGCAAGGCCCTAAGAAACTTAGTGAGACCCTGTCTCTAAATATAAAAAAAAAAGGGCTGGGGGTGTGGCTCAGTGGTTAGGCACCCCCTCAGTGGTTCAATCCCTGATACCTAGATAAATACTTCAGTGGTTGCTTTGTASATATTACACAGTAACAGGACTTACTGAACCCTATTATGGAGAGAAAAGTCCACCTGCCTCAAAAGCCCGGGCTTCCCCACCACGCCCATCTCAAGACACTGTGAGAGAATCCAATTTATTTGGGCACAAGACTTTAGAGAAGAGGATGGCCTGAGCTGGGGGCAGGGCAGCRGCTGCATCTCCTCAGCTGCCAGGAGCCCTGCAAAGGGCAAGGGGCTGGGCGCCATCCGCACTCGCTGGCCAAGGCCCGGTCGCTCAGAAGTTAAGGAATTACCTGGTGGAACGGAAAAGCTCCAGTCCGAGGAGGTAGCCAGCAACAGCCGCTACCTCATGAGAAAGTGTGAGTAAATCAACAGCCTGAAYGTCTGGGCTGGGGCGAACGGGTCAAGGGCCCGGCTGAGGGGACAGCAGCCCTGACAGTGTGAATAAAACTCTCCTAACGCCACACGGACATGCTGGTCAACAGGCCCACTGTCCGCACCCTGCCACAGCACCTACGCACACACGGCACATCTCAGTGAAAATGGGCAGAATCCAGAAAAGTGGAGTGGGGCACAGCCGTGGTTGGCAGGAGGGTGGGAGAGTGGCCTCCAGTTCTCCGGGCACTGTGAATCTGATCTCGATCCTTTTAAATAAAATTTACATTTCCTTTGCAAAAGCACTGGAATAGTAGGGTGAGCATTAGCCAGGTGTGATTGAACCCATCATCTCCAAGGAGGAAAAGCAGGTGCCCCAGTGAAGCAAGAGGACAAATTACCCTGCAGGGCACTTTGGTCACAAACATCAAAAACCTTAAATATTTTACATACCTTTTGACTTAGCAATTCCACTTTAAGCTCTTTGTATAAGGAAGTAATCTTGATTGTACACAAGCGATTAGTACAAGGATGGCCACTGCCATTTGATGCAGATTAGCAATCAATTTTAAGCCACCTGGATTTCTAACAAGAGGGCATTTGTGCCTTCATTGAGGGTCCCATCATACTATGGAACACTATGCAGCCAGGAAGAAGGGTGTCTTGAAAGGATTTTTTTTTAAATCTGGGATTGAACACAGGAGTGCCTTACCACTGAGCTACATCTCCAGCGCTTTTAATTTTTCTTATTTTGAGAAAAGATCTTGAGGCTGACCTTGAATTTGCCATTCTCCTGCCTCAGCCTCCCAAGTTGATGAGATTTATAGGCATGTGCCCCTGTGAGGGCTTCTTGGAAGGATTTTTACCACATGAAACATATACTTAATATGTTATATGCTGAAATTTTAAAAAGGTGAATGTCAGCAACATTTTTAATATTGGTACATTCCTCTCATATTTCTGTTTTTATCTCTCACACATGCACGCACACAGGCACGCACGTACACACACACACACACACATGCACAAACAAAAAATCTTAAAGCAATATTAAACTGTGGAAAATAATGAAAAATCAAAAAGCAAAAAAATAAAAGGTAGAGAGAGCCACCTGCCAGGAAGGCGGGGGCGGCGTGTGATCTGAATGTGGCCTGTGAAGCTGAAGGGGCCTGGGTTTACACCAGCTGCGGGGCCCTGGGCCAGTCCCCTGTGTCCTGGGCATCGTTTTCCCCTGTCAAATGGAGGTGGAGCAGAAGCAGCCCACGAGTGTGCACCAACACAAGCTCCTGGGTCTGGAGCACTTGGTGTAACAAGGAGTGCAAAGCCCCCAGCTCCCGGGGGTGCCCAGCAGGTGCTAGAACCCCCCCCCCCCGCCAGCTCTGTGTTCTAAAGGTCTGAGGCCCTTGGGACCCTCCTGGAAGGAAGGAAGGAAGCCCACATCCCGGGGCCACCGGCAGGGACTCTGGCCAAGCCCCGGGAGCACCAGCTCTGGTCCTCTGTGGAAACAGCAAGGTGGGGCTGTGCCCACGGTGAGGTGACGCAAGGCGGGAGCTTCACCAGGCTGAGCCTCCTAATTAGCGCTGGATTGTTCCTGGCTGCAGACTGATCTCAGCTTTAATCTGGGTTTGGTGGAATCCGACCTGCCTGCAATCTTCCCCACACCCTCCTGCGACRGGCCACGCCTCCCCGCTCCCCTCGGAGCTCTGGGGCTCCAGGGTCTTCAGGAGCCCCCTGGGCTGGCCTAGGGCGCTGGAGGCCCCAGACCACAGGGGCTCTGTGCCCCCCTCAGCCCCAGCAGGGGTGGCTTCAGGCAGGCTCTGGCCTAGTCCTGAATCTGGGTGTTCCAGAAGGCACCGCGGAATAGCGGGGAGGTGGGGTTCTCACTAAGGTCCTCTAAGGTCCTCTGGGCTTTGCCTGCTGTTTGCTGGCCGGTGACACCGCGTGTCACGCCACCTGTCTGAGCCTCCATTCCCTCACCCCAAGACTGGGCTCAATGCACCTGTGACAGGTGAGGGCCTGCGACAGGTAGGGCCTGCGACAGGGGGTGCTGCACCGGAAACCCAGCAAGGAGCTGGCTCTCAGCCCAGGAGCCGCCACCCGTGCTCCCACTGCTCCGTGACAACATGGCCTCCAGGCTCAGGAGGAAAGGCACCTCAAGGCTGTCAAAGGACCAGGACGTGCCATCTTTCCTTCTGTGTCCCCGCCTCCGYGCCCTGGATGCACCCGGGTGGGTGGATCTGCACCCAGCTGAAGGAGAAGCCACTTCCCCGCTTGGCTGCCCAAAGCCCACGACCTGCCATGGAAGGGGACGTCAGGACAGCCGCTGGGGACGGGGGTGGCGCTTCCAGAGCCAGTGTGGTCCTCCTGGAGGGGACGCTGGTCTCCCCCACCCCTTCCGTGATTCATTTAGCACCGGCTCCTGCCGCCCCCCGCCTCCCCTCCCCCACTCCTTCCACAGTCACTCCCCTGCGGCTGACCCTCAGCCAGGCCAGAGCAAGGCCGCAGCCTACCTGGGGGAGGTCCTGTGACAGTGGCCGTGAAGGAGTCTCTCCCGGTCTTGGACAGGAACCCAGCTSGGGCCGAGACATTGTTCTTTAGCTTGCAGCAAGAGATGGAGGCCTGCAGGGAACGGCAGCGTGTCCGAGGCCTGCCTTCTCCGCGCCTCTGCCCTCTTGCCTGCACAGTGGCAAACTTGATTACAAAATAGACCTGACAGAGGCTGAAAAGGTCCCTCTGGGCCTTTACTGGTATCCCAGCCCCAGTGCTCTAGGTCTGACCCCAGCCTGTGTGGCCCTGTGCAAGCTGCTCAACCTCTCTGAACCTGACCTTTCTCATCTGTAAAAGGGAACAGATGATCCCTGCTCTACTTGCCTCAGAGCATCATCAGGGGAGGGGGACAGTCAACAGGAATCATCCAGAGGAAAGTTTTTKAAGATGTGGTGCTAGTCCGGCACACCTGTRCTCCCAGCAGCTCGGGAGGCTGAGGCAGSAGGATCCTGARTTCAAAGCCAGCCTCAGCAACTTAGTGAGGCCCTAAGGAGCTCAGTGAGACCCTGTCTCTAAATAAAATTTTAAAAAGGGAGCGGGGCTGAGGATGTGGCTCAGTGGTTCAGCATCCCTGGGTTCAATCCCCATTACCAAAAAAAAAAAAAAAAGTATAGTGCTACACATACAAACCCTTTTCATTTCATTTTCTGCTATTTTTAATGTTTTCAGGACACTTAGTGCTTCCCATCCCCACCCTGATCCCTGGCTGCATTCCTCACTGTCCAAACAGTCCCTCTCTTAAATGTAGCATGTGGGGTGCACGGAGGATCGTCGGGTTCCGATTGTGATCACGCTGGCAAGCATTCCCTGCCCTGACTTTGCTGGACCGACCAGACATTAAGAATTTTGTCTGATGCCCACAATAGACATTTGGAAGCATCCAATGTGTTCAGAACTCTCCAAACAAKAGAAAAAGCAATCTAAGATCATTCTTCTGTTACCAATGAATCATAAATATTTTAAATGCCAGTTTGCAGTCGGTCTCCTGAATTCATTAGATAACAGACGCAATAAAAACCGTACCGTGAGCCCTGGGAATATTTGCTGAATGTGTGCAACCATTTGCTGGGGCGGATGGTCTGATTTTTCTAGATACTCCTCTGTCATAAATATGTTTCTCGAGAAATGCAGATGGCGTTGCGATTTGGAGTTGGCCAAGGTGCAGGAATTTAGCTTTTCCCAGGGTCCTGGTGGCGAGGCCACATGCAGAGAGGGCAAACAAAGAGACCAGATGGGCAGGCTAATGACTGGAGGAAAGAGGACCAGGTCGCCAGGGCGGAGGGAATGACAGGGCACCTGGGGAGGAGAAGTGGGGGTCCCTCCCGGCCGGGCTGAGCCGTGGCTAACAGGATTACTCTTCTGCTGGGCCACCTGACTCCCCCATTGTTCTCCTGGCCAGAAAAAAAGCTTCCTGCAAACAAAACAGYGGCTTCAGTTTTTTTCTTCACCCAGACAGAAAGCCACCAAAGGGGGAACATTCTTTACACCCTGTCGCAGGGCGATTTCCCCATGCGACTAGGAAAACACTCAGCAGGTTTAGGGAGAATGGCGCTGAGCATTGCCCCGGCCAGAATCCACAACGTGGAGAAGCCCAGGACGCAGCCACAAGGGAGAGGAGGAGATTACAGCTAGTGGTGGCCTGGGGCCGTGGAATTGTAAGGGTCCCCCAGAGTGCTGGAACACGGTTCGTGATGTGCACGTGTTATTTTAGAGTCCTGTTAAATTAACGATGAACAAAAGCCTGTGCCCGAGATGCATCTGTTGGGAGAAAGAAGAAATTCTGACTTGGGAAGTGGCCGCTTCTAGGTGGACATTGTGCAGGGCTGGGGTTTCCCCTTGGATGTCATGGAGAGGTGCAGCTGGGCCCCGGGGAGCAGGCAGACAGGGAGACACCGGACCCTCAGCCACAAGCAGAGCACTGCCACACCAGTCCTGGCTGCTTGTCTCCCAGGTCACCTGGTCCCCTCGGATGGCAGAGGCACAGTGGCCACACCTTCATTACAGCTTTCTTGGACACACCTTGTCCTCGCCCTGTTAGTTTAACAGTCTCCTTGCTGGTATCCAGGACCTACCCAGAACCACACCAGTCACTGGCCGTGAGCAGCTGGAGGAGCGCAGGTCCCGTCAACCCACACAGGCTAAAAACTGACCCGCTTTCTCCCTTCTCCTGACTCACAGTACAAGASCCTTTGACTTTCGTGTAGTTCCTTGTGGGCTAAGTTCTTGGCTGTCCCGGACCTTGGCACATGCTGTTCCCTCAGCTCTGGCCTCCCTTCAGTTCCTGGGCCTCAGCCTTTGAGCCATCTCTGACCAAGTCTGAAGGAATGCTACGCCAACCCTTCCGCCCCTCATGAACTCTCTCAGGCTGCACGTCTGTCTCTCTCAAGACCGGCCACACCTGGAGTACCTTGGCCATTTACTGGCTCTTATCTGAGTTCCCTGCTGGAGTCTAAGCAGTGTCACCAGCCTGGCACAGTGTGGCCCAGGATTCGTGCAGAGAGGCCTGGCAGGGCCACAACAGCGTGACCCTGATTATTTCCAGCTTCCCCTCGCGCCCACTGACGTGAAAACGACACCTTTGAGCAACTCCCTTCCCCGCGCTGAGCCTCGGCTTCCTCTTTAAGATGGGGATGACTTATTTCATGGACTCTGTGGGTCTTAAATATGATAAATACAAAACTCTCTGATCAGCACTCAGTCCATGAAAAGCACACCACCACCCTCACTCACCTCCACCACCCTCACCTCCACCACCCTCACCTCTGCCACCAGCCTCACTCCGGGTTACCCAGGGGAAGACCTACAGCAGAAGCTGCCCAGGACAGCAGCTGCTGACCACATGTGACCACTGCCCTGGAAATGTGGCTAGTTGAACTTGAGATGTGCGCCAAGTATAAAACACACGCTGGACTGTATTTATTTGTGGCACTGGGGGTTGAACCCAGGGGCACTTTACCACTGAGCCACATCGTCGGCCCTTTTTTATTTAGAGATAGGGTCTCACTCAGTTGTTTAGGGCCTCCCTAAGGTGCTGAGGCTGGCCTGGAACTCGGGATCCTCCTGCCTCAGCCTCCCTAGTCCCTGGAATTACAGGTTTGTGCCACCATGCCCAGCTCATACACTGGATTTTCAAGACTTGGTGTAAGAAAAGAATCTTCCTTAAATACCTAATTAATAATTTATATATTGATTAGAAGTTGAAACAATAATGTTTCGGATATGCTGTGTTAAGTAAAACACATGATGAACGTTATTTTCTCCTGTTCCTTCTATCTCAGTGTGGCTACTGGGAGATCTTAAATGACCTAGCTGGTCTCCATGGCATTTCTGCTGGTCATGCTGGCCTAGAAGGTACCTGTATTGCTTTGAGCACATCATTATTGACGGAATCAGTCACAGAAGATGGGCAGGATCTTTGTAGTCAGAAAATGCATATAAGTTATAAATATCACAATCGAAAATGAACTAATCTTAGACCAAAATAGTTTGAAATGTGGCACAATAAATACCATTAACACTCCGTGCGATGCCCAGCCCACACGGGGCACAGTGCTCTCACATTCGTTGTCTCTTTGGTTCCTGGTACTAACCCTGTAGGGCAAGTCTAATTAGTGCCACCCTAGATGGCAGCTCTGGGGGCAGAAGGACCTGCCTAAGGCCAGCCCACCCATCTCCATGCACCATGCGGTCCTTGGGGGCCAGGTGCTTTGCTAGACACCCAGCATGGCTATCTCATTTCATATTTGTGTTAACACTATGAGGTGGACACATACACCCATTTAAAAAAAAAATTTCTCGTTGTCTATGGACTGCAGGGCTCTGTCTGCTGATTTTCATGTGGTGCAGAGGACTGAACCTCAGACGTGCTGTGCCAGTGCTCCACCACTGAGCTCCAGCCCAGCCTGACACAGACACCCATTTTATAGATCATTCGACTGAGTCCTGAAAAGTTAAAGGACCTGCCCAGAGCCACCTAGAGACGGGCAAAGCCAAGGTGTGGACCCAACCTTCCTGAATGCACTGTGCCTGTGGTCCATGCTGCCTGGCATTGTCAACATGGACACAGCTGGTGGAGCACAGTGTCAACAAAACAAAACAGTCTTCTGAAATGGAAAGACAGGGGTTCACATTCCCTACAAGACTCTGAACAGTAAACGTACTGTCTGCAGGGAGAGTGCTAAGGGACGTACCCATCGCTACAGGTGAGGAAACTGTCCCTGAAAAGTCAGATGACAGACAGGGAGGATTGCAGTCAGTGTCCCTGGGGGCAGAGGTCTCCCTGAGCTCCATCCTGACCCGCTGCCGCTCAGGCTTCTCTAGCTGCAGGAACCCCTCCGGTCCCCAACAGCTGCTGAGTGACTGGCCAGCTGCACCGCATGCCATCCCCCGAGCCCACCCTCCCCTCTTGAGCCGACCATGCGTCCACACGCCCTCAGCAGACACGTGCGACGTTCTTACGTTGTAGTGGTTGGGTGCAGGGGTTTCGGATTTGAGAACTTTCATGAAGCTTGGCAACTGGAACATGCTAGAACAGGAATTACTGAAGTCTTTCTTCGAAATAAAATCTGATGGGATAGTGTACGCATTCGCCGCAGGATATTTAGAAACGATGGTGCCCAAGCGGACGCTCTGTGAGGAAGAAGCCAAAGGAATCAGCGTTGTCACATCATCTGTGGCCCTGAAGGACAGATCAAAGGGATGGTGCCCCGTCCTGGATCTAAAATCACCTTCTAAAGGGAGACCATGGGGTAACGATGATCCATCGACCCCAGGCTTTGAGGATCTGCCCTGGGAAAATGCAAGTTTGGACCTGTTCTCCATCTGTAAATTAACCCCAATTATTCATCATCTGTTTGGGACTTGGCAAAAATAATTTTGCCATAAATGCATTTCCACCCAATCCTGTTAAGGTTGACTCATGGGTGGTTGGGTAATCTATATGATGGGAAGTTTTAGAACTGATTCTCGAGTCTTCAAGGTAGCGGAGGCCAGCCTCCACCCATGCCCCCCCCAATCACTGCCTTTCCTAGAACCCTTTAATATTCCTGCTGTTTCAACCCACCCAGGGCCGTTCCTTTCATGGAGACATGATAAACTATTTTCAGTTGAAAAACAAACAGAATCAATGTTTGTCAAATGAACAGGGACAAAAGCCACAGAAACTCAGCGATAACATCGCTTTGCCCCGGCACAGCATGGCATTGGAGTCTGATAAAACATTTCCCATAATTTTATGGTTAAAAGCTTGAGAACACTGCCCCGGGTTTCCCCCAGGTGGACAGGGGTCAATAAACACGAACACAGAAGTGGGGGGAGCTCCATCTCGGCCCACCCCACTCTGTGCTCAGTGGTGACGGTGCCCAGGCCTGGTCTAGGGACCACCCGAGGTGGCAGTGTCCTCAGCCAGGGCCTAGTCTGGTTCGAGGCCAGCTCTGCCTCCTTCTGATCCAAGAACGTGTTGAAGTTCAGGCCCCATAGCCTGGTCTATCCTTTGCATTTGGCCAATTGTTTACCAAGGACCTTGCACTGAGGAGTGAATCCCAAGATCACCCCCACTTTACGGGTGAGGAAACTGGACTTCTGCTCGCTAAGCGGTGGGACCGACAGTCTTAGCCAGGCGGCCGACCTGCACCGATCCCCCATCCCAAAAGGAGTAGGTGAAGAGGCATGGTCCCTGACTAACTGCAAATTGATTCCATCGTAGAATCTTTTTGGCTAAAAAGACATTAGTTTTCCATTTTGGGGAAAAAATTATTCTAAAAAATCCCCAGTAGAGGCAAAGTTTCCAAGGTGTTGTCACGGGATTAGCCTCGGAGCACAGCGTAGAGTGACTTGCTCGCCCACCCTCCACAGCCCTGGTTCACCTGCGGGGCTGCGGTCTCCCACCTGGCCACACACTGGCATTGGGAACCTCTCTCCAGCACACACTACCTCCTCCGGTGTCACTCCTGCCGGCACACAGAGAAAGGCCCCCTGTGTCCTTTGCCTTCCTAGCCAGTCCTGTGAGAAATTCTGGAACAAAGACTTGGAATCTATTAATGGGGCACTTGATACCCTGTGAACACAGAGATGACAGGTCTTCTCGAAAGGCGGGCTGTCGCCGTTCCAGGTGACCAGGAAGTTTCTAAAATTTATAGACCCGGAGGTTTGGGTCAGCCTCACCCACAAGTCACACTCCTCCTGGCCKCGGCCCTCTTCCTCTGGTGAGGGCTACTCTGATTCCCTCAGAGCCTTGGGATCTGGAAGTGGAGAAGGTGCTCAATGTGAGGGTCACTGCAAGAGGGGTGGACAGATGGCATTGTCCCTGGGCCGATGCGGGGACACCTGACAGATGGCATCAACACCTGGGGCCTCTGCCCAAGGATGCAGGAACTTAAGTGTTTGGAAACATGAACACAAAGTCCCTCCACCGCCCAAGGGAGGACAACTCGGTGTCTGCCTTCAACAGAAGGGAGCCCCCCAAGGGTTTGGTGCTGAGCTTGGAAAGGCCTGAGTACATTCCATCATCTCAGAGCTACCCGCGGGCCCCTCTCCCCCAGATGGCCTGGCCTTGTCATCTGGAGGTTAGTCCTACAGGATGCTGTTCTCCAATTCAGTCCCCGTCTTGGCACCCAGGAAGAAGTGCAGAGCTCCTCCCTGTGCAGAGGTTCTGGGAGAGAACACCTAGGTGTTGCCGGAAGTCCTGTTCGTGACTCAGGTGGCAACAATCATAACATTTAGCCTGTTCACGATGCTTTGCAGTTTCAAAGAGCCTTTCACTCATGCAATCTGCCCAGCGCCTCCAGGGAGGCTCCGCTTTTATGAGACAACTAGGGCACAAAGGGTGACGTGCTGGAGGTCACATCGCGCTCCACCACTGAGTCGGGATCAGTTCTTAAGTCCCCTCTCTGTGCCAGGGCATTGTAAGGTGGCACTTCTTTTGCCAATTGCTTTTGAGCCTTTTTCCTGGGGTGGGGACAGAAAAAATAGGTAGGGGCCTTCTGTGTGTGGACTAGCTGGGGACACGTGTGTCCTTGGCCCCTTCAGTAATGGGGAGGGAACTCCCAAGGCGGCCTTTGCTTCTTGAATGTTCAACTCTGCCAAACTTGACTTCCAATAAGAAGTGGCTACAGTCGGCGTGTCCTGAATGGTCCCTGCGTGTGGTTTTAAAAAAGTCAGTTCTAACGTCAGGAATCACAGCTCGTCTATGCAAGAGACTAGGATCACCTCTGGAGGGACAAAGGGTACATGGGTTTTGTCCTCTCCTACCTCAGTCTCGCCCCAGTTTGGCCCTTTCGCTCACTCTATCTATTTTTCCTGCCAATTTATAAATCTTTTTAAGGSTGACAGTCCTTTTCTTAAAAATGATTATAAATTGGAATGTGGCTTAGGGGTAGCGCAAGGGCCGACCCTGCGTGAAGTCCTGGGTTCTGTGGCCAGCGGGAAAAAAAAGAAAAACAGGAAATGAACATCTTCCCCAGGTCTGGTCAGGGTCATGGGCCCTTCTTCAAGTTTGATTCTTCCATTTGATCGTCTAGAGACCTCCACAAAGAGAAAAATCCCACACCATACAAAAACGAGGAGGAAGAAGCAGGGATCACGATTCAGGCCGCTGCCTGCTTTCTTTTTGGTTCTGTCAGGTTTCTCAATAATCTGAACAACCTAATTAGAACAAGCAAGGGGTCAGAATCGATCTGAGGATGAAATACRGTAAGAGTGACGTGTTCCTGTCATGCCTAAAAATCTCAGGAGGACACCCGCTTGGCCCGCTTGATGCCGACAGCACTGGTCTGGACGATCRGGTCTGGATGTGCCTCTGGCTTCTCCCTCCACTCTGGCAACGTGTGACAATGGAAAAAGAAAATTATCTTGACACTGGGCCCAACTTACCTGTGTGCAATCTGGGGAGGCATTTCCTCTCCTAATTAGAAGCAAGGCCTCTGGAGAGGAAGGCCCCGCGTCCAGGGCGTGACTCCACGGCGCAGGAAGGAATGACTGACCCCCACCCCGGGGACGGCTCTCACCACGGAGGGAAAGGTGCAGGTCCCCTTCTTGGACAGTGAGACGCTGTTGAACACGGGAGACTGGTGGATGACGTTGTAGAACCCAGGACCCGGAATGTCATCCTGGAAGCCAAGAGAAGGCAGCGGCATTAGGTGGCAGCAGCTCCAGGGCGCTTTTCCGCCAGCGTGGCATCTGTTGACATCAGGCCTGTCACCCCATTGGACGGGCAGAAATGCCCCTTCCGTGGGACGGCAGTCCAGCTGCACCATTTCCCAACTTGCCCAGGGTCCCTCTCAGCGACCGAGCGTGGGACAGGACTCCCAAGGACCACACCGAATCGAACTCCCAAAGAATGTTGTTGGGTTTTTTCATGTCATTAGAGAAATGAGGGTACAAAGGGACACCAGATGAGGCCCGTGTGCAGGTCCCGGGTATGGATTGGGTAAGGGGAGGGGGACGGTTTCACGTGGCCACACCCTCCTGACTCAGCTTCCTCCTGGGCCCTTGAGAAGAGAAACCAGGGCGACCTGCCTCCCACGGGAGACCGTTTCTAACCCAGATAAAAGGAGGCCAGCTCCTGGGACAGGTGCTCGATGCCACAGCTGTGCTGGACAGGGACAGGAGCAGAGCCACAGCAGCCAGGCGGCCACTTCTGTGGGACAGCAGTCCAGCTGCACCATTTCCCAGGCTAGTCACCAGGYGGAAGAAAACGTCATCGAGGGAAGTTGGCCAGGCGAGTGGCTCAAATGACGAGGAGGCTTCACCGTGGCAAGCGTTTACTGAGCACCTACTTGGTGCCGGGGCTTTTCCAAGCTTGTCTGGGTCTCAGCACCACCCCATTCCACAGACACCGAGGCACAGGGAGGTGAATTCGCCCACAGTCCCACTGCCCTAAGTGACAGTTCCTGCCCTCAGCGTGATGTGCGTGGCGCTGTCTCCTTTACGCCTCACCCGGCCCTGGCAGTGGACGCACTATCAGAGCCACATTAAGGCAAGTGGGGTCCAGAGGAGTGGGGCTCATGGCTACTAAGAGCTGGGCCCCAGATTTGAACCCAGGCACCAGACTTGGATTTTGCCATCTCCAGTCCCTGCCGCCCAGCTACATCCTGCCCTGACCACCTTCCTCGGGCAGAAAGAGGCCTTCGAGGACTTTCCAGTCTGACAAGTGCTGCTAACCAGCACGGAGACCGCAATGCCTGACTCCTAACCCTGTGACTTTCCCCGTCTTTCCTACACAATCTCATCGGAGCATTAGTCTGGTTCCGTGGGTAAGAGTTAAATCTAGTTGAACTGAGAACACGGTGAGACTGTGTGGTTCAAATTCTGGCTCTGACATTTACTGATCACGTGACCTGGGGTCTTCTCGTCTTTAAAATGGGGATTAAATGAGCAAGTGCCGTAAGGTATCGGGAYGGTGCCCCACACCCAGGGAGCGCTCGCGGGGGGAGCTCACCCTGCAAACAGCTCCCTAGAGAAACGCGTCCTCACTCCTGCAGCCCCACACCTGCGCCCACCACCAGGTCCTCTCCACCCTCAGCCTGGGCGCCGGTGTCTGGGTTCGCCGGCTCCTGTCCCTGCAGTCAGCTCCCCTTCTGTCCACAGGGGACTGTCATTATCTATAAATCACCTCCCTGCCCACCTGCCACGGGGCAAGGGTCAGAGCATCCGGCACAGAGGAAATGCTGCGGCCACCAGCTACATGACCTGGCACAAGTCACCTATTTGGGCCTTAGCTTCTCTCTCTAAATCCAAGGTGTTGGGCCTTGGATGCCACTGAGCCTCCAGAGTCCCTGAATCTAGGAAAAACTGCAGCAGGAAGTGTGTGGCTCTCCTAGGTTTAAACTAGGGACAGAAGAGGGGCTGAGGCTGTGGATCAATGCGTGTGGGAGGCACTGGGTTCAATCTTCAGCACTGGAAAAATATAAAGGTATTATATCTAAATAAAAGGTATTATATCTAAATATACATATAATTTTTTTTAAAAAAGGGACCAAAAAACCACACATCTAGGTCCCAGTCTACCACCTCTGCTCAAACCTGACATCTCTCTTCCCAAGAATTTTCTGAGCACTCGTGTCCCTGGGGAGCCAGAGTGGCTAGATGAAACACAAAATGTGGACGGATGCGCCGACCCACTGTGCCCAGCTCAGTCAGAATTTCAGATAAACGACCAATAGCTATTTTAGTGTAAGCATATCCCATGTAGCATTTGGGGCCTACTTACACTAATAAAATAGCCATCCCACACTCTAATTGAACTGAAGACCTGGATTTTAATCTGTGAAATCTGACCCTACTGGACCTCAGTCATACTTTAACTCTGCCACACTGCAAACTGGCTTGAGCCCAGGGCAAGCAGGAAGAGGACTGTCACCTCTGGGCCTGGAGGAAACAGTGCTCCCTTTTGCTCTTAATGAGTGTCCACGGAGAGGCCTCCCGGCAGCAGTAGGCTGCAGCTGGCCCGTGGCACCTGTGAGCCGAGCTGCTGAAAATAGACTTGGCCAGTGGTAACGTGAACTTGGCCAGGGCAGGAGTATTTAAACCACAGGGTCTGGCAAAGGCTCCTGGCAGAGGGGACAGCGGGGTGACCTTCAGGTGACAGCCAGCTTCGGGGGATCCAGGTTTTCTCCCACAATTCCTTGGAGGGGGTGGCTCTTTGGGCGGATGATAAAAATCCAGAGCCTTTCCCTGCGGGATGACAGTTCAGGTGACTAATGTTTTGTGACAGTGGTGAGTTAAGTTGGGAGGGTGTGAACTTGGCCACCCCTTGGCTTCTTGGCTGAGACCATCTCAGAAGCAAAACCCAACAGACAAAGAAACGAAAACGGGCGTGGGGAGCGAAAGGGGAAGAGAGTCACAGTCGCCAGGGCTCTGCTGACTGCTCTGGAGAGCTGCACTGAGCCCGTGCCAGAGGCCAAACTATTGTCCCCATGACTGTGTCCTGGTGAGAGGCTGGCGTGAGTCAYGACATGAGAAGGGGGCAGGACAGTGACAGAGCATGGAGGCCACAGTCATCATCCCCATCGCTGCTCTTCACAGGGCTGCAAGAGCCTGAGGGGGTCAGGACCCTGCCGGGGGGCCAGAGGTCTGCAGGGTGGACTGGCAGAATGATTGGCAGGTGTGTCCCCATCGTCTCACCCAGCGTACCTCCATGCAGCATCTGGTTGAAAAGCGCTTTGAAGCTCATTTGAAGCATTCAATTCCTGGATGGGCACCTCTGCGTGTGCCAAGATGGACGACAAGCCATAGTCACCTGACCTCAGACTGGGCACAGAGAGGGGAGAGAGGGAGGGGAGGGAGGGAGCAGAGACATGGCAGGACTTCCAGAGCTGAGAGCCAGTCACATTTTCATCCAGTCTGATATTAAAATTCTGCCCGATTAGTACTTTTTACCAAATCACTGGTTTGTCAAACCAACTTCTGGCTTGGAAAATGCAGGCTCTGCAGAACCACTGGCTAAAGGCCCCACTGGATCAGCAAGGTGATCCGCCCGGCTCTGGGCTGACTAGCTGGTGTTTCTCAGATGAGCACAAGGTGGACTGACCAGGGTCGCTCTGGCTGGGGTGTGTAACAGGGGGAGGCCAGGCCTGAGGGGGAGCAGCTCTGGCCTGCGGCTGATCTACTGGCAAAATTGCCAGCAAGTTCAAAGTTTCCCCGGGAAGAGCTTCTTTTGACAAAGGCCTTAGTTTCCTGGTCTCAGGACAATGTGTCCATCCACCCTTGACTTCACCCAAGGCTACAGAGCTGCCACCGAGGTGGCTGGGGATCTAGCTCAGAGTTTGTGCCTCCCATGCACAAGGTCCTGGGTTCAATCCCCAGTACTGCCGAGAGAGAGAGAGAGAGAGAGAGAGAGAGAGCGAGAGAGCGAGAGCACTTCCACCGAGTCTGACTGTGGCCCAAGAAGTGTAGAGAGTACAGACCAACAGGTAAGAGAGCTGGTGTCTCCCCAGGGCACACACCCTCTCTGGGACACACGTCCCTCACCACCCGCAAACCTGCAGAGGCAAGGCGTGGGGGAGGGCGGGTGGCAAGATCTGTGGTTTTCTAACTGCTCCTGAACCCCATGGGCACCCCAGGGAGGGACAGAGGAGGCAGCAGCCTCAGCTTGGCTTTCTCTGGTTCACAGATGTGCTTTACCCCGTCCTTGGGGCCACACAGCTTGGGAAAAGGTGCCCTCCATCTAGGGTGAATTGGGAATGAAAAGGGGAATGGGAGCAAACTTCCAGCAGGTCCCGGGGCTGTGCTCGGTGGTGACATGCAGGCCTGGCTCGGCCTGAGTGCAGAGGACCAGCCCAGCTGCACACAGGTAGAGAAGGTCCAGCCGCACAGACTGTTCGTGCAGACACCAAGCCCTGCGAAGGACTCCTGCCCCTAGCGTCCCTCTCCTGGGGACCATGAGCTGGCCAGGAGGCCACAGCCTTGCACAGTTGGCCTGGGGAGGAAGGCGCGCCCTCCGGAGGCAGCCATTCCCTGTGCTCCAGACACACTAGTGGGCCCCGACGGGAGGTGAGGATTCAGGCCAGGGATGAGCTCAGGCTCAGGGTGTGGACGTTCCTGTCCGGAGGAGGGCGGGGAGGCCTTTTAATAACTCGCATTGCCTCACTAAATTACTGGGTGATGTTCTACAAGCTCCTTAGCTTCTCAGTGCTCTGTTGATTTTCTGTGTCTACATATGACCTGAATTCTATGTTTCAGATGAGGAAGTTGAAGCCTGGAAAAGACACACGGCTGGTGTGACAGCACCCAGTGACAGAATGGAACATGGCGGGGGGGGGGGGCCTGATCTGGGATCCCATGTCCTTCCCATTAACCTCCATGCTTTTAACATCAAGTTCAAATACGTAGGGTCGCCATATTCGAAAAGTGGGGATCAGACTTCCGAGCGCACTGTCTCTGTGTTTGATGCTGCCTGTAGCTTTGGCTGGCTGCCACCCTGGCTTCTTTGGTAGAAAATGTTCTGAAAATGCTAGTGTTTTAAATGACAGTTTATCAAAGTCGGGCCTCTGAGGCCTCTGGACCTGCGTCTCCAGACCCAATCATTCACATCTCGCCCTGGCCAGAGCTCTAGTTGCCAGCGCCCTTTCTTAGACACATGCTGACTTTCATCAGCCAAATTTATGGCCTCGCAGGCCACAGAAGCAGGCGTGGTGCAGTGTGGAAAGCGCAAGAGGCTTTGGAGTGAGCTGGGCCTGGGCTGAGAGCTAATTCTTCCAACGCTGAGTCAGCAAATATTTACTGAGGGCCTCTTCTGTGCCCAACCCTTCGTGTGTGTGACCTTGGGCGGGTCACTCTAGCTCCCTAAGACTCAGTTTCCTCTTCTGTTAAATTAAAATAATAAACCCTCCCTGTTAGCATTGTTCTGCGGAGGAGAGGAACAACCTAGAAGGGATTTGACACATGGCAGGGATCAATCAGCGGTGAGGCCGGGCTGCAAACACCCTGTAGAGGGACGTTATGGTGTGGTGAGATTGCCCCGTGGGAACCCAGATGGCAGTGGAGAAGGGCCTGGCAGCTGAGATCCAGAGAAACTAGAAAGGAGAGAAAATGCCTGAGCAAATATTTATCCTCTTTGGGGAAATCTACAAGTAATTTTAAAAAGTATGCGGGTGTGTGGGGGGGATGGGGGTGTGCACAATATTCCTTATTGTTTGCTTCTTAAAATCCTGAAATATCTCGAGTGAGCTGCCCGCGCTCTCTGGCTCCTCACTCCTGCCCACGGGGGAGGAACCAGGCTGAGGAAGCCCGCGGCTCTCAGCTTCACTCCTCGCCTCTGTTCAGATCCTAGACCTCCTTGTCCCCCCTGCCACCTGGGCAAGGCGGCAGGATGACCCCATTTAGAAGACAGCACAAGGTCACCGAGGCCATCGCTTCTCCAGAGGAGGGTTCTTCTCCGGGTCTTGATTCCCCGAGGGAATGAACCATGGAGTTGCCTSGGCCCCTGCTGGTGAGAGGGGGGAAGGCCAGGCCCCAGAATCCCCAAAGTAGAAAAGAGGGTAGGGAGACACAGGAATGTGCGGAAGAGGGTGCAGATGGAGGAGTGCAGTCGTGAGCTATGGCCTAAGGTAGCTTTTTGGAAAAGGTGTKCGGGCCTCCTCACGAAGGTAATTCTAAATTTATTAGACTCCTCCCTCATGTTATTTGAAGAAAATCGTGATTTCTTCCCATGTAATATGGACTAGAGTGAGACTTTTTTTCTTAGCTGAATACGCATGGGATTGGGGGAATTTTATATTTTCATGATCTTCAAATATACTTTTTAAAGATATGTGGTTCCCTTCAATATTTTTGACACCATGGGTCCAGAAAAGGCTGCTGTCATGTCCCAAGACAGTCTTACAGCGCCCCCCAATGGCCGCAGCAGAGGAGGCTGTGACTCCTTTGACGACACTGCCCTCTGCTGTTCACRGGGAGACTCACAACATGTCTTCAGGCTAAAATCCCCAAATAACCCACCTCCAACTCAGTGTCATTACCTGCTTATGATAAAATCTCTTGGCTTGACTGTTAAATCCTTTTTTTTCTTGTTCTGGAGCTACTGGAATTTGTGATTTAAAAGGAATGGAGGGTTTTGTTGGATATGCAGCAGTAAAACCTAAACCACAAAAACAAAATAAAAATCAGCACCAAAAAATGAAGTGACAAATAAATACAGAAAACACAGAGGTGGACACTAAAGTTTTATTTTAAATGGAATAGAAGAGAAACTTGCCTTTTATTTGTTTATTTTTGTACTGGGGATTGGACCACTGAGCCATATCCCCAGCCCTTTTTTTTTTTTTTTTTTAACTTTGAGACAGGGTCTCACTAAATTGCTTAGGGCCTCCCTAAGTTGCTGAGGCTGGCCTCAAACTCTCAATCCTCCTACCTCAGCCTCCTGACCCACTGGGATGACAGGCGTGTGCCATCACACCCTGTGAAACTTGCCTCTTGACAAGAGACCAACATGAAACGGAATTTTCAAAAAAGTCTTCCCCACGTGTTTCTCTTTCCCTTTTGGTGAGTTATTGGGGTTTCCCCCTCTGCAGTCTCACACCAATGAGATGTGGTCCCATAAGCACACTGAAGCATCAGTCACAGGCAAAAGGAAGGATGTGACAGGAAGGATGACGGCCTGGAAGAGGGGGTCGGTCACCTAGAGATCTGCAGAGGTTCAGGGAACCCCAGAGCCRGGCGGCAAGGCAGGTGCTTTGAGCAGACGTGGGGTTCAAAAGCAGAAAGGGGGTACTTCCAGAAAACCAGGCTTGTGGATGTCTGGGCTGGGCGTGGAAGTGCTCAGACGATGTGTCCCCCTCCCCGCRTCCGGGAAGTTGTCCCAGTGGCTGGAACTTGACAGTGTCCATCTGCTGAACAGGTGGATTACAAACTCCAGCCTGTGAGTTCAGCACAGGGCTGACGGCTTTTGAGCCCCACCCCTCCCTCTTCCCCTCCACCCCACCTGGCCGGGGGCAGGCTGATGACAGGGCCCTGTGCTCCCTTCTGGGACATTCCTCAATTCAAACCATGAAAGCCCTGCCCCCCCAGCCCCACCCCTAACATAACACAGAAGGCCCCCTGCCAGCGGCCTCCCTGCCCCCAAACCATTTTGGAATAGTCAAGGCCTGTCCTGCTCACCCCCCACCCCAGGAAGCCTCATGTGTGAGTGAGGGACCTTCTCACACCCTCCCGAGACCCCTCCCCACTCAGTRGTGTTGACACCCCAGCCAGGTCTGAGGGGGTCCATTCTGTCTCTGGGCTGTTCACAGCAGTCAGCCAAAGCATCAGCATCCTCAGAATCCTCAGCCTCAGGGAGAAGATACCGTGGCCGCGGAACCAGATGGCCAAGGGAAAGGAGAGRGGTGTGGGTGGACAGCATCGGTGTGTGTTTGCATGAAAACGATCCTGCAGGCTGGTTTCTTGGTCTCTGATTTTTTCCCCCCAGCACTGGGGATTGAACCCAGGGGTACCTTACCATGAGTTATATCCTCGGTCCTTTATACTTTTTATTTYGAGACAGTGTCTCACTAAGTTGCTTAGGGCCTCTCTAAGTTGCTGAGGCTGGCCTCAAATYTGCCATCCTCTTACCCCAGCCTCCCAAGTTATTAGCTTACAGCCATGCCTCACGGCACCTGGCAGTCTTTGAGTTTTTGAAAAAGCCAAACTCCTTTCCAGAGAGGAAAACTCAATGCTAATAGAAGCTTCTCTGGGGTACTAATAGGAACCAGCTTTACAGATGAGGAACCTAAGGTCAGAGGGGTTAAGTTACTCACCCAAATCACCCAGCCGTAACTAGAACAGCTGGGATTTGAACATGATTTGTCTCATGATCACAGGCTCTTAATTACTACACTGTGCTTCCCCCTCCTGAGCCAGGCCCATGGTAAGCACTCAGTAAATGAATGATGAAATAATGGAGAGAGGAACACTCTAGCCTCATTTGCCTGGGCTGAGCATGGAGCACGTAGAAGAAGCTGAAAGTGTGGGAAAGGGCAGTGCACGACAGGATCCCTCCCTTTGCCACTGCTCCTCATTTACRTAGGTGATGGCGACGCACCCTCTGCCTTAAGGATGCGCTCCAGCAAGTCAAAGAGCAGAGCAGCTGCAAGACTTTGGTTTCTAAAAGCCTAAGTTTGTAAACTAACTAAGGGTTATAGAGGAGGCAGTAAAGACAGGGGAGTTAGAAGAGGGTACAAGGCRGCCATTCTCCTAGGAGAAGGAAAGGTGAATGAGATGGAGGCTCTGGCTACAGAGGTGGCAGAGCCCCAGTCGCCCTCTTGATGAGAGTTCGCCGTGAAACAGGACCTGAAAAAACCCTCTGGCGACTGAAAGAAAAAAAAAAATTAATGGGTGAAATATACGAAACAATCAAGACACCGAAATTGGCCAAAGAAGAATGGGATCTCTGAGAAGGACAATCAATGTGTGCTGCTGCGCCCGGCCAAAAAAAAATTCTAAAATATATGAAAATGGAAAGAATGGATCACCAGCAAACTGGACCTATAGGAAACGCTAAAGGAGGTCCTTCCCGCAGAAGAAAMATGATACCAATGGGAAATCTGGATCTACAAAGAGGAATGAAGAGTCTGGAAAGAGTGAATATTTGGGTATATGTAARATATAAAATTATGAATATCAATCAATCATTTTAAATATAAATATATAAAACATGAATCGGTTTAAAAACAATTGGAATATTTAAAGCAAAAATTGTAATAACAAAGTCGTGTGGGGTTTATAATATCTATGTGTAGAAGTAGAATGTTTGATGATAACAACGCAAAGGCCACAGAGGGAAAAATTAAAATACATTGCCTTAAGGCTCTTCTCCATGTGAAGTGTGAGGACATCACTTCWTGGTGGGTTGTGATAAGTTAAAGATGTTTTCTATAGAGATCAATGAGCTTTTTCTATAAAGGGCTCAAYAGTAATTATTTTAGGCTTTGCCAACTGCATTGTCTCCACTGCAACCATCCAACTCTGCCATTCCAGAGTAAAAGCAGCCACAGATGATACATAAGTAAATAGGAATAGGTGTGTTCCAACAAAATTTTGTTTATAAAAAAACAGGCAGTAGGTCAGATTTGACCCAAAGGCCACATTTTGCCAAACTTTGCTCTATAGCAACCRTGAGAAAAAAAAAATACTACAAAGAGTTATTCCCAATAACAAAAGAGATAAAGTAGAAGCATAAGAACAATACAAAAGACAAAAAAAAAAAAAAGAAAGAATAAACAGGCCAGATAAAAAGCAATTTACAAAGCAACAGACTTAAACAACATAGGAATAAATCACATTAAATATAAACAGTCTAAAATATCAGAAAAAAGACAGAGATGGTCAGGTTAAGTAGGAAAGAAAGACCCAACTCTCGGCTGCCTGTAAGAAACAAACTTTAACGATAAACCCAGATATCAGTTAAAAGCAAAAGAATGGGGGCTTTCGGTGAGAACTTACACTGAGTTTTAGGAATCAAAGAAGACAAGATCTCTTACACAGATAAAATTTGAGGACTGTGATTCTTAACAGATACATGAAAATAACAAGTCTGCCTTTTTTTTTTATTGTTATTGAGGAGAATCCTCCCTTCCCTGTCCTTCTTCCCAGTCATCACCATTAGGGCAGCAGGAGCTAAGGCAATCCTTTAGGGTGGCTGGTGGACACAACCCAGGATTTGCTATATCCCCACCCAGTGTGCTCTCATGTACTGTCAAGAGCCCTCTTCTCCTGGCACAGACAAGTTATTGAAATTGACTGGACCTTTCTGTATCTTGTTGGTGTGTCTGGAAGGTCTACCAAGGCGTTCGTCCTTCTGTGCAAAGTTGTCCATGTTAGCAAAGTTCTGTGATGCATTCCATTTGCTTGTGGAAAACCTCTGCTAACTCTTCTTCTAAGCACCTAAAACTGCAAAATGCAACATTGGTAGGGATCATTTCACACTGGTATTATCACAGTGGGGTTCTGTTCTATCTATAGGCTGCACTGAGAAATCTTGTGGGGTAGAGGCTGAGCTTCACCAAGTTCTGTGACCCCCAAGTCCCCCGTACTCTGTGTGGTCCGCAGTAGGAGATCTGCGAGAGCTCACTGCTGATGTTGCTGACAGAGCTACTTAAAGCTCTGAATTTTATTTTCGTCTTACAGATTGAGCTTTACTGGGATATAACTGACATACGATAAAAATTCACAGTGTTGACCCTATCTCAAAATAAAAATAAAAAGGACTGGGGGTACAGCTCAGCAGCAGAGTACCCCTGGGTTCAATCCCTAATGATACCACCATGATATTAAATTTACCTTCATCCCAAACAAGTTCCCAAGTTCTTCTGCAGTCAGTACCCGCCCCACCTGATATAAATGCTTTCRGTCATTAAGTACTGTCATGTCTGTCTTTTTTCACTTGGAAATCTTCCAGACTGTTGCATGTATCATGATTTGTTTCCATTGCTCCAAATCCTCACCAACATTTCCTTCCTCGGTGTTTTTGTTTGTTTGTTGCAGTGCTGGGGATCTAACCTTTTTTTTTTTTTTTTGGTACTGGGGGTTGAACCCAGGGCGCTTTACCATCGAGCCACATCCTCAGCCCTTTTTATTTTTCATTTTGAGACAGGGGCTCCCTAATTGACCAGGCTGACCTTGAACTTGGGATCCTCCTGCCTTGGCCTCCTGAATCAATGGGATCATAGGTGTGYGCCACTGTGCCTTGCTTAGGTTTAGGTCTTTTTAAAATTCTCAGCAATATTTTGTAGTTAGTGTACA